GAACTGGATGATCTTTAAGGTCCCTTCCCACCCAAACTGTTCCATGATTCCAAGGCTTTGGCGACAACTGTTTAAAACAACCCACGGGCAGACAGTGGTGTCTTTAGGGAAGTGTTTTATTGGCGTTACCCCTACAGCAGGATGGAAACACAGTCCCAAACAGCGGCGCATTGCAGCCGCTGCTGAGATCACAGAGCCCGTACCTGGAACATTCACAAGACCTTTCTGTGCTGCTCAGGCTGGTTTGGGAACGACGTGTGTGCTCGCGTGTGGCACTCGGGGGGTGAAGGTGATGCTGCTGCTAACCGCGGTCATTTCAGGAGAGAAGCGGGCCTCGCTGCCGAGTGAACTCATTCCCAAAGAGCACCGGGTGGGTTTAGGAGCTCCCGTGTGCGTTTTGGGGATGAGACGGCACGCACCACCCACGCTTGGCCTCCCCTCCCTGCCCCCGTGGGCTGGGAGAAGGGGTGCCCTGACCTCACGGCCCCGCACCCCCCCGGGGCGGCCCTGAGGAACAGGCGGGCGGGTGTGCTGGCGTGGCGTGCGCTGGAGGAAGCTCAGCAGGAGGGGATTAACCTGTACAAGGACGGTATTTGCCAGGTTGTTGTTCCAGTGACGGCAGAGAGACCCCGCTTCTGCGTGGGACGGGGCGTCCCTTGCTCCCCTGCCCGCGTGAAGCGGCAGGGAGGGGCACGCTGCCTTTGGGTCAAGTTTTGCCTCTACACCGCTCCTCCCCCCATGCCTGCAGTCTGGAACAGAAAGGAATTGAGGGGCCAGGTTTGCTGTCGGTCCCGCGTGAGACGAGCACCAGCAGGATCTCGTCCAGGTGGAACGCAGGCGCCTTCCTCGCTATTCCTTGTGGAGGCACCACACCAGAGTCTGCCCCACGCCGGTCATGCCCACCACCCGGTATCCGCAGCTCTCCAGCTTGTTCAGCACGATCCGCGGCGCGTCGTTCACGTAGTACTCCCAGCTGCGAGCAGGAAGGGGGAAGGGAGAAAACGTGGAGAAGAAATACAGAGAGAAGGAATAAAATGAGGAGAAGGGACTAGAATTTCCTTCCGAAGTGGCTCTGCTCACCACGCGAGCGCCGCGAGACACGGCAGTGCCCACGTCTGGCACGCTGTGTGCGGGCAGCGTCTTGGTGAACCAGCTGGGGAAGGCCAGAGCCTGTCCGGAACGGAAGGGTCCTGTCGGGAATGTGGTTCGGGGACCGGTGGTCCCAAGGCACGTGCTGCTTCGTCACCGGGGCTGAAACGGCAGCAGAGGGGGCTCACCGTATTCACCCCTGGGAAATCAGGGAAAAGGAGGGTCATCCCTGCAAGGCAGGGAAGAATGATTCCCGTGTTTCCAAGGAATAGACAGCCAGTGCTTTGGCTGGGTTTGAGAGCCTTGAAATTTGCGGATGGGAAAAAAACTGCTGCCTCCAGCCAAGTGTTAAACCAGAACCATCAGCCCTCCACAGCGCTGCTGGAGAGGCGGAGCACAGGTTCTGCCCCGGCGCTTGGGAGCAGTTAAAAAAACTTGGTGGATGTCGGGGAACAGGGACGTGGGGTCTTTGTCCAGCTTGCGCTGCCCCGCGGCTTCCGTGGGCTGCGCGTGTCCGGGGCGGCCCGTCCCCCCCTCTGCCCAGTGCCGCCTCTCCGCTGGGCTCTGAGCCCGCTCCCGGCCGCGTGGGCGCGGAAAGCGCCGCGCTGGGCGGGTGGGGAGGTGGCAGGGCCTAAATGGGAACTGCA